ATAGATAGCGATTTAAAAATATTTATTTGCATATAAATATATATGGATAGACTATCTGTATTCATGATGAGGTTTGCTATTACAGTCTCTAACGATTCTGTATTGCCATCGTTAAAAGATAACACTTTCTAAGATAGTTTCCGCACTCTTAGTAATAAAGATCACGTCAGTGATATCGATGGGCAGAATGGGTGACAATATTATGTATGTTGTAACAGAAAATTAAGATGATGGCACGAGATAAACTGGCCGTTTCCTCGGCGGATCTTTGGTCGACTCTTTATCTCGAGCGCCGCTTGGGAAATATATGTGCTCGAGTTGCGCTTGTGCACACCAAAGATCCCAGCAGCACCGAAACGATACTTTTATATGAGAAAGGGGAATACACAGAGTGTTTGGCGGTAGGATAACCATAAGGTCCGTAAGTCAGACATGTCGATGTCCTGGAATAAAAATCGAATAAATTTGACATAACCGAAGAAAAAAAATTCTATTTTACATTAACTCTATTCTACAAAATGTTACTTTTATAATAACGTGATTTTAGGCGTTTCTTTTTCAAAGTTCCTCAATGGTACTTGTGTCGTTCTTAAAGTTTTAAAGGTTTTAAAGATATTCTTAAGGTTTTAAAGAGATTATATTTTTTACAAAATTTTAAATTACACTATTTGAAATTGTGTCATTTCTAAATAAAAAAATCTACATTTCTAAATAAAAGGAGAATTTTCTTGTTTTATTTGAAATTTAGTTATTTTAACTGATATTGGGATAAATATAAACGGTGATATTTCGGTGATATTTCGAATTATATCATTTTTGATGAATATTCCGAATTTGTTATACTTTTGTAGATTATCAAAATCGTCACAATTCAAAAAAGGTGATTTTTTTAAGAGTTGTGAAACGACAAACTGACATTTGATCATATTTCTAAGAATATATTCTTTTGCCGAAGTTATTTGATTAGTCAATAATTTTTTGTTAAGTTGAAAAATAGTTTTTTTTTCTGATTACGAGAAACTTAATTTTTTGGGTCGTATCTCTTTTGAAGGAAGATAAGGGTTTTCTAGTATTCTCAAATATATAATATTAAACCGATCTGTAACGGATAGATAAATCCTTCAAGGAAGGATTAAACTTTGATATTTTAATTATTCATCAAATTGCGAATTAATTGGAGAACGTTTTTGTCAAACGCAAATCCGGATACGATCGCGATAATAATAATTGCGCAGTGATTACGATTAATTGGTAATTGTGACGCACATTATCGGTTATGCCGTAAAACATGAACGAGCGAGAAAGTAGCGGGACGAATTATCAAAACGAAACACACGATACAACGAGGCACTTCGGCGCGTGTTAATTCGAACGCGCGGACTCTCGGCAATTCCGGGCGAACAATTATGCGCCGAATTGAATCACGGTTTCTCCCCTAAGCATAACCGCGCGTTGTATCGCGAGAATTGATTTATGAATCCCTTCTGGCCATAACAGGAGAGAGAGAGGGAAAGAGATAGGGAAAGAGAGAGTTTTAATTGCTCCGATTTGCCAAGCGTGTCCCGCAAATCCGTTACATGATTTTCCGATGGATTTACGTGCAAACTTTCGATCCGCATACGTCCAAAAACTCATGGCACTGATTTCACGCACGTACGGTATTGATAGTGATGAATACTCGCTCTGGGAATTCTTCGTGTAACATTTAGCTTGGACGTGACGATAGGTGACGCGTTTGTTCGGATAACAAACAGTGAGATCGCTCGACATTACTCTTAATTGTGAACGAGCTCACGGTTCGAATTCGGCGAAACGTTGCGACATTTTAACGTCGGACATTTCGCCGCTAAGCAATTGCATGGAATGTAAATCGTCGCGTAGTATATTTCACTATGAAATTATTGATAAACTTTTTTGATTGTGGTCGTTCGACTAATAGCGATAAAATCGTATTGAATCGCTTATCATATATAAACATGTATCGATACAATTTTTTGTGATAGTGTTTTTTATTCAAAATTTTAAATAGCTACGCGGGTACTATTGTCATTTACTGAACTTTAATCAAATATTTTTTTATCAAAATTTTAATAAATAAACAAATTTTTTTTAAATTTTGATTTTAGAACGCCAAATTAAATTGTTAAAGAAAATTAATTTTATTAAAAAAAATCTCCTTTTTTATCTATTTATGCTTTTAAAATTTTTTGTTGATATAATAAATTTATGTCAACAGACTGCGGAGTATTTCTAGCGAAGAATATTTTCAAAAATATGGGGCATCTTATATCAAGTTTATGCAGTAACCGCATAACTGGATGTTATGCGGTAACGTGTGCAAGTTCACGATGCGGTATGGCCGATAAATATAGCGACGCCAAAATAAGCTTGTCGAACATCAATCAAATAAGTTCGCGGATGCGCTGCAAAATGGACAGTCGATCGATCTGAACCGAAGAAAACTGAAATAGGAAGTCGGTCGTGAAGCACAATCGCAAGCTTGCAAATAAATAAACGGCACAGACTAATTTCTTTTGCCGTCTCCATTAATTAAGCGCAGCGAATGTACCTCGAGGCGCTTAATGCGACCTGTGGCGCGAAATTGTATTCGTCGCGTTCATAGTCTAATCTAATGCAGTGTAACAACTTAATGCGGTGTAATAATTTAATGCAGCGCGCAATTCTCAATATCGCGTCAAATGCCCTCTAGATAAATTGCCGTATCGATTCCTGCAATAATTAAGTTGGACTCAATATCCATTGTAAAAAATTTTCTGAGGTTGCTTCAAGTTTGTGAGATAAAATCTATTATTATTGTTTAAACAGGAATAAAGGAAATATAAATGTTTTAATGCGGTAAAAGAAAAAGTTGGATTGTATAGTAACACTTTTTAATTTTTTATTCTTTACTTCTACATCGTATTTTTCTTATAATCCAATATTTTAACAAATTATAAAAATTACTTAAAGGAGTTTATCTTCAGTACGCAAAGAGAAAACCGAGCGCAACTGACTTAAACGAACGATTAATTACAGTAAGCAGATGAGTAATTGCGGACAGTAAGTAACAAAATCATCCAAGTTAAATCTCTCGCAATTTGAATGAATGACGTCTTATTGATTGTAACGTAGGTCGACACGTGTAATTTCGAAATAGTAATCGTGACGATATTAATTTTTTTTTATTTTATTAATATTAATTCTTTTTAAAATTAATAGTACACCAAAAAAGTGTGGAAAGTTAACTTACAAACATGAGAGAGACTATTATACTGTAGTTCCAGGTTGAGTAGCAACTTAGCTGCGTAACGTCTCTCTCTCTCTCTCTCTCTCTCTCTC